GCAAGACATAGGTGTACACCATAAGCCCCCACCACAAAAGAAATCAGGCCCATAGTGGCTCGAACTGGTGGTGTGCTTCAACACATGTCCAGAGCAGTGGGAACTCAACAAGTATAAAAATGTGGCACCTGTGGAGTAACTAGAATTGTCTAAGTACTTAGAATACTATACATGAAGCTAGTTCTGCAAGTAGCATTCAGGAGTTCTGTCCAACCTTTTGCCCCATGAGTGAGCAGGAGACATTTCACTTGTATTCATCATTTGGTCAAATAACTGGAGCTTTCCATGTGATACCTTATACAAAACATCTCAGATCATGAATCACACAAATGCTATGTATTAATGTGAGGAAGTTAAGTTTAATGTCTATTTTTAAGGAAACCTTTTCCTCTTTCCCTCATCTTGTAGGAAGGTCTTTGTCAAGTGCAACATTCCTTACCTGTGCACAATCTAGCCAAAGGCTTTTCAGCATTGGTCCATAAAGTCCTAGATTATGTGAATCTGATTTTTCCTCTTTTTCTTTACAGTTTTTATTCTTTTGGCAATAAAAAGAAACTGGATCCAAAGAGTATGCCCAAGTCTGTGGACAGTATAAAATAGTTAGGCTGAAGGCAATGCATCATGCATGACAGTGGATTATCACTTCCAAACAGTGATACAGCCAAGAGTGAACAGAGGTTACTCATTCATACTTTGGGAAATAGGGAGTTTACCAAATTCTTCATGCCCAGCTGGCAACATCAAGTCAGGGAGTTATCCCACAGCACCACTTTCTCAAACGTGCCCCTGGCTGCCACTGGGCAGAGAAACAGGCTTGGCACAAGCATGTTAGCAGGCTCGCACTGGAGTTTGGTGCTACAAGGGATGATGGGCACAGGGGGATAAGGAGAGAGTATGCTCTGGAAAAGGGGTGGAACTGAAGGATTTGAACTCTTATGTAAAAAGAAAGGTAACTCTGTATGTCAAAGTCTGGAGTCTAAGGCCAAAATACATCTTATTGTAGATGAAGGTAATAAAGAAGCATTATGAAAATATAAAAATGAGAGAAATGATATATGATAGTATTTGTTTGCCACCTCCAAGAAAATGACTAATAGATTGGGTTAACAATGAATTTTTGATTTCTGAAGAAACATTAAAGTTAGATGAACTACTGGTTTATTAGTTTCTAGAAGAATAATTCCTCCTCTTGTGTAATGTAACAAAAAAGCAAGACACTATCACTGTTGAGACAGAAAGACACAGCCAAGCATCAAGGTTCAGAGTGACATTGTAAAAAGGAGTTTTACCTTTAGGTTATTGGTTGAATTTTAAATAGAGAAGTTGCCACATGCATTTGGGAAGTTGTCTGATGTCCTGGGTCAGCTCGACCTCAAAACCAGCTCAGTTTCTAACAGACAAATGTTCCCATCATAAGCACTGCAGCAACAGATAACCTCCCTGACAAGCCTGGCAGAAAGGGGCAGCCTTGAACCAGCTCTCCTGGAAATACTGTGTCACAACAGCCTTTCCTCTGCAAAAATAAGAGAGCACCTGTTTTCCTCTCCCCTAACACCTAAACCTGAACTAATGTTCACTGGATATTGTAATATAAACATAATCACTTCATTCCCTCTTCTCGGTTTCTGAAGGTTTGTAGGGAAGGCTGACTCAGCTTCCTGGTGCTATTACCTTAGGAACTGGTATAAATCTTGTTCAAAGAATCTTTGTGATCATCAGATACCTTGCTTTGTCAGGAAAAATACCTGAGCACTGGTTTAGCAGGGCTTGCTTAATGTTTTTTAACCCTTGCAGACACTGAAGAAGACTGTTGTGAAAAAGCATTCAAAGAAACCAAACAAACAAACCCAAACAACCATCTCATCTATATTTTCAAATTCTGGTCAAACTTGAATAGGACTTAGTGTTGGAATGGAACAGCTTTATGTGCCACAGTTTAGATGTATCTCTAACTAAAAACAAATATGTAATTGAACCCTTAAAAAGAAGGCTGACAAAGATAATTGCATAATTAAAAAAGGAGCAGTCTTAGGACCAACGGTCACCTCAAACTGTAAAATCACAGCATAAAAAACGACACCACAAAAAACCCATTTCATTTGATTTATGTTTCATGAAAAAGCAAAACAAATGTTATCCAAATATTTTCAGTAGCTGAAAACTATCACTAGAAAAACATAGCTACAGACATTCCTCATTGCTGGTCTGAACTGTTTTCAAAATAATCCAATGTAAAGGCCACTGGTGGAAATATTTCTAATACTCTGCAGTCACAAAGCATTAAATTGCTGTGTTTGGTGCAGATCACCTTGCTTGTGCTTTAGAGGTATTAGTTAAGCTTCAGTCTATGGTTTGCAAAGCACTCTGAACTCTCCTGACCTATCTCATCCTAAAATCTCAGAATAGTCACTGCTGATTTCTTGCAAATATGTTTACATAACATTACAAATAACTTTTCATTGCATGCCCATTAAAAATAAACCTGCTGGAAATAGAAGAGAGTAAGGAGCCAGAGTCACTTTGCCTGTCTCAGGAGCAGCTATGAACAGCTCTGAAAAATATACATACCGTTGCCCTCTGGATCTTTCAGACCTTTTGGAGCAGGAGGAGCAGAATTTTAATAGCATCTATAAAGGTGAATCCCAGAATCTATTTAGCATTGAAAAATATAAAAATTCTAGAGAAATTATGTCAGAAACAATTCTTATTGTTCAAGAAGCACACCACATTTTCTCTCGCTGTTGCAGAAACAAAGCCACCAAGTGTATTTTCAAGAAAATATTTAAATAAAATTGATGAAGTGTCAACACTTGACTGCTTGTTTAAATTGGAGGGAATTATAAAAGCTGTTACAGTGTGTTCAATTTGTTCCAATGTTATTATATACCATAAGGGCTCATTCGAGCAGTGAGAATACTGCAGACAAGGCGTGAAGATTACAAGATGTCTTAGACTTCTCCCTAGTACAGTATGAAATACAATCTAAAGCAACCAAAATTCTTTTAGTGGAGCTAATTCCATCCCACTAGGGCTCAATGGAGAAAAAAAGAATCACTGTTCTGTTATGCTGCAAGAACACTTTGTTATTTGCTTAATGGGAAGTTAAATGAATCAAAGCTTCAGACAGCAAAAAAATCCACCATCAATTAATGTGTCAAATTGTTAATAAGAAAACAAATCAGATTTAAAAACTGAGGTCTTGGTTCTGATGTATATATATTTTCCAAAGGTTGAGCTTATCATTTATGATATAGTTTATGCTTTCCGAGGACTACGGATGACTATAGGAGAGGGCTCCTGTTTCTGCCCTGCTCCTGTTGAGTGTAATTTACACATGTAGCCCAGGTGACTAATCAAGAGGATCATGACAAGCTGTAGCTGTTTATGCTCCAGGTGCACCTCAGCTGATGAAAAGTGGTGTACAAGAGCTCAATACGTACTGCCATCACAAGCACCACACACATTATCAACTGAAAACAAGGCATTCTAATGTTAAATTTTAATCTCTTCATCCATTATCTGTCACACTCAGATGGGATGCACAATGGAAGTCCCCAAGGACCATATGTAATGCTCCCAACATCTTACCTAGGAAATAATTCTGATACACTTGCATTTTCTAAACACAGCCTGAGTGGTGAGTTCTCATATTCCAGCCACAACACAAAGTTGGTCTGAAATTCTGAACCAGACATCTTTGCATGGGCACTTTCAGACTGTGGAGGACGATGCATGGCTACAGCTTCTCAGCAGCACTTACGATCTTTCAACTCAACTCAGCACATGCTCCTAACACATCATGTAAGATGCACCTGCAAAGCCTGGGAACCTGCATGCACACCAATGTCACAGCTGTATGACATTGCATTCAACAGCTTGCACCTCACCAGGAAAGCAGCACACCAGATGAAGATGAATCCCTACCTGTTCACAATATCCATTCATCCATACTTCTTGCGCAGCATAGATATTTTGCTTTGAGAATTAGACATCCATACATTTTTTGAGGCAGTTATCTTTATGGTATCTGTATGCCCCAGGTGAGTGAGAAGGGTTCTGACCAGAAACAAGAAGCATATATTCTATGACACACTGTGACTTCCACAAGACTGGGTAGAAACCAAGGCAGTTAGTCAATAAAATATTAATAGATTCTAAGCATATAGTAGCTACTAGTAAAACTAGCATGAGAAATGCACCAGCCTACTTCAGTCATAAAACACCAGAGAAAAAGAATCTTAAAATTTTAAAACTGATCATAATTTTTTAAATATCAGTGTTATGAAACTTCTCTTTCTACTATTATTCAAGGATGAAAACTACCATGTAAATTCACTAAGGCTTTACCCAGGCTGGCCTCTAACTGGGAGTGTTGTGCTCTGCAAGTGCCCTTGTTAGTGTGGAGTCTCCTGCATGGGGGGGCTGCCAGTGGTCAATCTCTCTCACAGTCTGCAAACCTCTTTGCCAATGAGTTGCTCCTCACTGGGAGCCAGATACAATACTCCAAACAAACTCCTAAACCACTTCAAACTTTGCAGAATTTTACCCCTTAGCACACCTTAGCGCCTCATAACCTTTTAAATGTCACGTCTCAAAAACATTGTTTCTTCAGCATATAAAAACAGAGAGAAAAAGCCCTATACTTCAAAGTCAAAATAATAATAATAAAAAAATTATTTGTTCTGCATTGGAAAATTCCCCTCTGCCTTAGTTTACTATTTATAAACTACCACTGTGGGATTAATTATTATAAATCCTTAAAGCTGAAAAGAAGATTTTAGGCATGTTGTGCTATGTATAATCTAGACTATTATTAAACTGCAGCTCAAATGCACTTTATGTCCTATTTCTATTGGTCACCTTTTAAGATTTCTGCATTTTATCTATGCTAAATTTTACTCCTTGAGAGAAAGTATTTCTTACTATTTTCAAAACAATAGACTACCCATCCAACATGCCACTGCATGGGAAGAGTGGTGTCACCTGTAAAGCACACTCACCAGGGACCCCGTCTCTCATCCAGTAATTGATGTCTGTTCCATCTGCGTCATTGTAAACAGCCGTAACGTTGATGGGCTGCAGCAGAGTCATGATCTCTTTCATGATGTCCCGAGCTTTAGCACTGCCAGTAAAACCCAGTCCAGATGGCTTGAAGGTGCCCTCATCAGACTCCATGACAATATCGAAGTTGTTGATATTTTCCTAAACATGTAAGGAATGAAGATATTGTTTTGATTGCTATTTTAACTGGCACCATATACTAGACTCTAGATGTCAGTGAACATACCATAACAAAATTGTTTAAGAAGCAGAGCAATGCTTTCTGTGACTGTATATATAAAAGCGTAAATGAAGGGATCTAGTCTTTCTGTATGAAAATGCTGAAAAGGTTTAAGTTCAGTTCTGAGGCATCAGTATTCTGTAGGAGCCACAGCATGACTAGTGGCTGTCCCCAAATAATTACTGTAAGACTTCTGAAGGGCCACCTAGAAAGATAAGCCATTACCACCAGTTTTCACTTGCAGATCTCACTTTCCTCTCAGACCTGAAATTCAGAAATTCTCTTGCAGATGGGAGGGTATACAGTCTGGTTAGCTTTAAAATTAGATGCATTCAAAGCATCCTGCTTAGACTGTGAAGGACATCTCATTTAAAAAAAACAGCTGCTGCCTCTTTAGAAATACATTATTTTCAATATACCATGTAGTCAACTCTGACTTTGGTCCGAGGACTGAAATGCCAAGGTTTTTCCTGACCTGAAGGAATAATGTCTATTTTAAGGCAAGTTCGTGCTTCCATGGTAAGTCCTTACAGGAAACACGAAATGTTAAGATTTTGTGTACAAATGGCATTATAACATTTGTTTTTAGTGTGCACTTGGAAGATTCTTTTCAGCTAATTAAAAAAAAAAAACAACAAACAAACCACCAAACCAAAACATCCAGAGCCATTTATTTGCTTTCCATATACTCAGAATGCTCAGTCACAAAAGTTTAATTGGAATACTTACTAACTTTTCATAAAGGAAGGTCTCACTCTTTTTGAGAGGCATGTAACATTTTTTTTCAAAATAAAACAGTTTATGGCCAGGTCAGGCAAGAAAAAGATGTACTTCAGATTATCTTGAATGTGACTAAGAGAACTAACTGCAGGTTTTTCTCCTATGCCCAGATCTCATTCCAGACATTTAGGGCTGTCATGGGTTATTACAAGAAAATCTTTACAAGAGATACGTGATAGTGGTAACAGATCCATGTCATTCACGGCTCACATAAGCCTACAATTCAGTAAAGACTTCTTTCACATTTTTCTGGATATAAAACTACAGGTGGCTGTGAATGTGATATTCACATAAGTTTTCAGAAGTTCTTTATAGAATTTGCCAAGAACTGTGTTTTACACTCTACCAAAACTTTTCTTTTTTGAGTGAAACAAGTTCTAACACAGCAGAGGTGCGCACTTCTAACTATAGAAATATATCCAGCAGTATAAAAATTTAATACAAAATCTCTGCATATGATGAAGTGACTGTAAATATTATAACGCTTTAAAATAACCAATCTACCTATCCATCCAATCCAACTACTGGAAATCAAGGTGGAAATAACAAATGTTGTCACCAATTGGCAGTTGTTATTTTTATACAATGAAAAAAACTTCAGGTTATAAAAAATTAAATGTATAAACCATTAAATGTGGCAGCTAGGCCTGCTATCAAATGCAGTATTACAGGTCATGAGCTTCAACATGAAACTGTGATTCGTGGACCCTCTAAACATAGTGAGAGAGAAGCAGGCCAGTAAAAGCACACTGCACAGTAAAAGGGACCAATGATCCTCCAAAGTCATTACAGGTACAACAGAAAGAATGTCTGAAAACGTAAATCTTCTTTATATCACAAGCCCAAGGAGCAAGACTTACGGAAGACAATACATATTTTGGTGTGCTAGTGAAACACCAGTGAAAGCTAATTTAATTATAGTGAGCCCTGAATAAATACCATGACAGAAATCATTCAGAAATGGCCTCTTTGGCTGAATCTTTGAAGCAGGACTTCTGCTCATTTTTAGAGAAGCTGCCATGAGTAGAAGCAAGTGGAATGGTATGAGTAAGGCAAGTGGAAAGGACTATTCAGAACAGCAAGGTGAGAAGAGCAAGTGCAGGAACAGCTCAGATGCTGAGAGGAAATCTCACCTACCGCTCCAATAAACAGAATTACTAAGTTCCAAAACTTCATAAACTGCTAGTATCGCAGCATTATTGCAGTCTTCAGTTGTATTTTCTCTTATAAATGTTTGCATGTGTTTTTAATATGAAACTGAGAAAACAAGCCACCCACAATACATTACACCATATTCTTGCTCTGTAAGAAAGCTGTTCAGTCTTGAGAACGTGCTGGAGTGGCACGAAAACAAGATGCCCTGGGGAGAGAAACTAGACTCATTGGGGGACAAAAAAAGAAACAGGTCACAACTACTTGAAGTACCATGTGTCCTTGAGAAAGCTTTTCCTCTATTTTGTCCACTAGAAGATAGGATTAATTATAGAATTATTCACTGTTGAGTTTGAAAGTTGCAATTAAGAAAAAAGGGGTTAAGTTGGTTTCACTATACCCATTTTTGTACACGTATACTGGCATTTCTATTTACACAGAAATAAATACATGCTGGAAAATATGCTATAGGGAAGATACTCCCTTGTCCTTTGCCCTCTATGGTGCAGAAGTAACTGCCACTTAGCAAAGTGGAGTGAGACTGTACATTTCTCCCTGGACTAATTCAAGGGAACAGAAGAACAAATCAGTAAGATTTTATAAAATAACTGCTCAGCTGTTTCCTTCATTTTTCCTCACAGTGAAGGTATCATTTAAATAAGCATTTTAATCTTTGGGAAAGTAATCCCATTTGCTGAATCTTGATACTGTGCCACTTCTCTTAGCTCATACCAGAAAATTAAATCTTGGTGCAACCTGCTGCCTAATTCTCTGAGCATCAAAATAGAATTTTATTCTTGACTTTCCTATGATTTGGTCATAGAAGAGGTTACCTCTCTATCTTACCATGTTTAGCTCTTTGACTGAATTTTTAAAGAAAACATTACAATAAATACTGCATGGGAAAATTAGCTTTCTATAGCTTACTATTTTCACTGAATATGCAAATAGGCACAAACCTTGCCAATACTTCTCCTATTTTTAATTCCTTTAATTCCTTTTGTTTGCTCTATAAACGATCTATTTTAACACTGTTAAGCAAAACTAAAAATATAAGGTGATTCTCATCTCTAAGGTAAACACTTGAGAACATGAAATTACAGTCAGATCTTTTCAATTGAGAAAACAAACTCTTGTCATATGCATGACTGATACTTCCATTGGTGGGAACCTCCCATCTAGCATAAACACTGGCAATCCCAAGCAGGTATACCCTACAAGTAGTTACTCATTCAGTCAAAATCCCAGTTGTTAATTCTTACCAAATGTTAAACTAGACTCCAACATCTCATGACTAATCTACCGAGTCAATGACTGCAACTGCACTGACTCCTCTTATCCAACTAAAGCAGTGAGATGCCTGAAAAGATAAGGGAGGGAACAGTTGTCCTAAAAGCCTTCAATAATTTGGAGCTATTTAAAATAGAATGTTATTAGTTGTCCATTTACTGGTTTGCTTTTTCATTCAATTGAGAAAAATCACCACTTTACAGGGAAAATACTAAAGTCAGTAATGGCAAAGCACTGTCCTTGACTAATGGTTGCTTTGTTCCAGTAATAAGGGACATCAGTTAACCAGACAGTGCATTTTCAGCTTTCTGTTATTGATTTACACTTAACTTTATGAAACAGCAACACTTGTATTCCTCTTTCCCAATATTTGACTCAGAGTAGTTGGGCTTCCAGTATAGCACGGCAACAAATGTGTTGCAGAACTTACAGTGAAATGATGGTCATCCCACTTGCAGTACTAAAAGTGTGTTTAACTCAACATCCAGGTTTGTTAGGCTGGCAACTAAGATTACAACAAAGACAAAAGAAAACACTGGAAACACCTAAGTGTATGCGACAGCTGGAAAACAAAAAAAGATTAAAATAAATAATATGCTATAAGTATTTAATAATATGTAAGCATGGTGTAATATAATTTTGAGTTACTGTTTAGAATCAAGATTATTTAATGAAGCTAAACAGCATAAATGGAAACTAGAGAAAAAATACCAGAACAGCTGTTAGGAAGCAGAGATGTGCCAGCATCAAGGCATAATAGCCACCAGCCACAAGCGTGATCATACCACTTACACTCTTTTTGAAGGAAGACAGGGAAAATCAGGTATACTGTGAGTTAACTTTTTAAAAAAATTATTCTATCATTATATGGGGAAAAGATGCTGTAAAGCTGAAAATTAGGAACAATTTTTGACAGATGACAAAGTATAAATAAGGTTCATACTTTTGTTAAAAGATGAAATATTTTTCTGCCACATTTTGTGGTAAGCAGCCTGTAAAAAAGTCCACAGATTTTATGGCTTGTTCTCTATCAGAGTTACAGAGTTCTGACCTCCGAGAAGCCAATGATAAAAGTCCCAGTAACTTCAACAGCCCTTGGAGCAGAATTTGGACATGTAGTTAGTAGCATTTCACTGAGTAAAAACATACTACTAGCATGTCTTGCCTTGTATAACAACACTACTGTTCTCTCTGCAACCACTTGCCAGCACTCACAGACAAGACCATTCAATATTGTAAATTTTCTGCAATGATAGACAAGAAAAACCAGACAGCTCTGAAGACAGCAGCATGCTAAATATGTATCAGATTACCTGAAGTCTTGTCTTGGTAGGCTTCTTCTTTGACAAGGAACATATCTGAGAAACGCTCTTCCTGGAAAATGTTCCATAACTTAAGCCCTTCTACTGCTCAAATACAAGGGTATCAAAATACTGTCTATGACTCTGAACGACTGCCCCACCACCATCCTTTTTTGAAAGGTTTTAGGTTTTCATTTGAAAATGGGCAACACTGTCAAAATTAAAAACCACGGTTTACATCTTTCAACAAAAGATGATTTGTAGTATTTCAGTAAGCAAATGAGTACTGTTATAACCTTCAATAAAAGACAGATGTAAATAAATTGGCAAAACCTTAAAAATTGTCACAGCTAGTATTTCCCAGTTTTATGCAGAGCACTTTTAAGTTCTCATCTGGATAAGAGACAAAATGTTAAATGAAGTCAGTAAGGAGAAAGTTCATATTGGTGAGTCAACAAGAGGCGACAGGTTTTTGTGTCCTGCACAGCTGTGGGGAGTTTGGATAAAATGAGCCCAGCTTTCTTAGAGCAGAACATCCCATAGCACCAAGGATCAGGTACATCTGCTTGGGATATGAAAGCAGAGCAGCTACCCTCAGAAGATGTCTCCATCAGTTCATATGTTTCAGATGGCAGCTCTGTAACTTGTATGATGGAAAGGGAGGAAAGATGCAAAGACAAATGTTCTCCTAACACTAGATGTGTATGAAATTTGCCTGCATGGAACAAAGGCTAGGCAGCCAGGACACATGCTGTCATGACTGATTCTGGGTCTTCCCTGCTTCAGGCAAGGTAAGAAATCAACCCATTTTCATGTTTTAGCAAAGTCTGCCTTTTTTTGCAGCTTTCATTAGAAATAGGATACTTTAATAATAAGAATTAATTCCTACTGACCTAGAACCAGTGTAAAATAGAATTGTGTAATTATGCTAGCTTTACTGTGCTTAATATAATCCAGGGTGCTACTGGTTGTTAAATGATTCTGGAGAATAGAGTGCAATTATTTTCTTTTTGTAGTTTTGTAACTGAACATTTCATTCTTCATGCATTTGTCTCATTTATCAATGAAAGGGATCAACAAGACAGCAGCGGTCAAAACAACCAGCAGTAATTTCACAGAACATTTGATTATAGAGAATATTTCCTGACAACACTCAATATGTAAATGGTCCATGTATTTTTATGGGATAAAAGAATCCACATTGAAGTCCTTGAATGTGTTTGGTTCAAATCAGACATCAATCCATGTCTCATGTTTCACCTGAGTACTTGGTACCTTGGGGAATAAACAGGTTGTTGAAATACACGAGTTTTCTGAAAACTCTGGTTTTGAGAAGCCAGTATTTTCTGGGAAAGGATCATTTCACCTGAAAGCCAGAAAAAATTTTTGGAGTATTTGCTTCTTGGAGAAAGTAGCTCATTAGCAAATCACAGTAGAAACCTCATGTGAACATCAACAGAGTACTTAAATTAGCAACAATGGGATACCTGCATTTCATAAAGTCCTGTCTTCATGCAGACCCAGTTTGGGCAAAATACCAAATCTTCTTGGTAATAAACACAAAAAAGAAACTATAGTAAACACTGGTGATTTATATTTTTCATGAAGTTAAACCTTTACTATAAAGTTAAAATAGTATACAGCATTTGCACCAGAAATTTAGGTAAGTACTGAAAATGTCATTAAGATAGGAATAAAATAATGCAAAAATATTTTAAGAATGCTTTCTCCAATGCGGTTTGAATTAAAATCATAACATATTAATGCCTCCAATGACCACAACAGAATTACTAAAGTAAATTTGAATGTGATCTAGGATCCCTTAGTCTTCTAATTACAGAATATATTTGCTTTCCCAGGAGATTGTATGCAATGCTTCTATTCCAAAGTAAATATTATCAGCCATTCATAGTCCCTTAATTCAGCTCAGTAAATAACTGTAACCTTATCTTCATGGTACACAGATCTTTCATAGAAACTAGTCCAAAGCAACAAAAAGGAGGCCAGACACTTTATTACATATACTTCTTTCTCCCCTCATGAAGACAGCATGAGTAAACATACAAAAAAAAATGTAAAAAAAAACCCCAAACCCTGCAGAAGAGCACTCGGGTACTGTTGTTAAAGGCTGTATAAGAATCTGTACTGAACAGCTGCAACTCGAGTTCCTCTAGAATTACTAAACCATATCCCTTCTGCTTCTTCGTTCAATGTGGAAAGTTAAGCAGTAGATGCAACATTTCACATTTTTTAAATTATTAACTGTACTGTCTGTACATAAGAGCCTTACTCAGCAACTGGGTCACACAACACTAAGCACTGAGCAAAGACTTCAGATGTAGTGTCGAACCCCAAGATCTAGAGCCTAATCTACCCTTAGATCCTTTAATTTCATTACCCTTCATCAAGATAAGGAGTCTTTACTGTAAAGAAAAATCAAGCCTTTTTCCAGTCTGGGATTAAATCTAATTATTGGCTAGCAGTTGAAAGCAGTGAGCACCTCAGCAGGTATCTCCCTTGGGAGCAAAGGGGCTGTTGATCCCCTTGAGAGGTTTCTACCCCATGGTCAAAACTAAGCTCTGCGATGTACTAGGTACACCTGCACTAATGGAGGCACTGAAACTGCTGGACAATACTTGGCTTTCCACTCTTGGAAATGTCTTAGAAAAATTATACAAAGGAAACAACAGATGAGGACCATGAGATGCTCTCCAGAAAAATATTTGATAAGATGAAAGCACAGTTGCAGGAGTAATCTATGTGTCTGAGCTTATTCTGACTGAGCTGGGCAAATACCCTTTTCCTAAGCATCTGTTTACTGAATGCTATCAGAAACAGAAGACAGTGTTAGACTGAGCTTTTGGTCAACCCAGTATAGCAGCTCTTACATTCTTATAAAGCTCTGAACAGCCAATACATCCTATTGCTAGAGTTAGTAATCAGAAACTATAATACTGGGCTCTATAGAAATACTTGAGTGATATAAATAATGCTATCATACAGGGATATGAGTTAATTATTGCCACCATAGTAAAACCACTATGCTGCTTCTATCTCAATTGTATCTGCAGTAACTTATCCACTTTCTAGCAGTGGCAACCTACAGTGACAGATGAGGAAGAAAGACCTGAAATTAAACTGAAAGAAATAATAAAAAAGCTACAAAAGTAAGAGTATTTGTACTTGTCCAGTACTATACTGGTCCTCTTTTCTTCTCCCTTGCCACACTTCCACTGACATGAGGAGGTAATTTACAATGTGAAGGAAATCCACGTCTGTCTGTGCTGAATTACTGCATTCATATTTCTACTTGTTTGTAGCGAACTAAAGTCATAATAAGCTCAACTATGTAGATGAGTCATACAGGCCATCTTTCATTTAACAAGGCATCTTTAAATACCACTCTTAGTTAACTTGTACTCATTACCATCAGCAAGCAGTGTTTGTGCCATACTATCCTAATTGCAAGAAATTTGTGCAAGTAAATCATTAAAAGGTTAAGTTATTTTTCATGCTAAATATAATGTACAGTGTTCATCTGCTTTATTTTGTTATTGTGAGTAATGCAATGTCCTATAGTCATATCAATTTATAATTATGCCAGATCACATGGCAGGGGGGAAACAAGAACAACAAACAACAGACGGATGTAATTTCTGCTTAAATTCTCCATGTACATTACAAACTCTTGTTAAGTTTGATTGTGCTTTCTTCACAGAGCACAACACCCAGATGGAATCACATCAGCAGAGCAAAAACTGTGACACATCTTTGTCTCAATCTTTTTAAAAGCAAAGTAACCAAATACCTTTCAAACAACACCCAGCCTGCTTTTTATTTCCCTATTTAATCCTTAAGCCTGATTCATTATATTACTTCTGAACGTAAATCCTAGAGACAACAGTGAAATACACACATTTTGGCAAAAGATGAGAAAATGTCATACGTTGCTGACACCACCACCATAGGATGGAGTTTACTGACCAACTTTGAAATCTACAGAGGTGATGATACATTTCTCATGTGCACCAAGCACAGAGCATCCTTCCAGCTCCTCTAAAATGCACTTCTGTACAATGAGAAGCCTCTCTTTCCTGTGCTACGTATTTCAGAACATTTCATTCTAGTTTAATCCTGCCAGACACCACAGTACCAATGGTAAATCCAGAGACCTTAATACATACTAAACTGCAGCCTGCCACCTCCCTGAATCTGAGAAAGCAAGCTCTTAGGCACCTCTTCCAAATGAGAAAGCTCAGCTATTCCTATAATTTGGAGGTATAAGGAGGAACCACATTATACATGGGTAGTTAAATACACTTTTTACGTAATGTTAAACGAGTTAGTGGGAAATAACTGATAGTTCATCAATTAGCCAGAAATCCATAACCACTGTAATGTTATCTCTGGCAACTATATTGCATATGCAAATTGATTTAATTTTGTTCATCACAATGAATTTGATTCAAAGTGAAATTTCCATTTATTTGTTCTGATAGGTTGCTTACCATTAAAAACATACTCTTAGGAATGGCTTGCAAGTCTGCTTTCATACTATTGTACAGCAGGTTAATACATCCTGTCTCTGCCTTGGATATATTAACCGTTGCTGAAAGTAATACTACTAAATTAGGGAAAAGAATAAAAGATAATTACATTAGCTTAGTTACAGAGGTACAGCAAAACTTTCCATGAAAAAAAAACACCCACACATATTCCAAAGACTTATCTCCAAAATAGTTTTATGCAACTGCCCTTTATATCATGATGTACTTTGAAAAGACAGTTGTTGGCAGGAGAGACAGATGTGACAATACACAATATTTATCCTGATAACCAGTCATACAGTTTGTATGTTGCTTGCATCATCTTCAATAAACCATTTAAAATGTTCTAGATCACATAAAAACTATTTTAGGTTACACGCTATTAAGATAAGATGGCAAAGAGTTTTCTTTGTATTATTTTATGTTTTACATTGTAAGATATTGTGGGAAAATGCAACAAAGCGGAAATATATAAGGCAAACAAATTTGTTTATATTGCCAAGATATGTGGACCATTTGTCATTCCTTCTCAGGAAGTTAGCTATGTTTGAAAGCTATGGTAGATATCATCATGAAATGTGTTTCAGAACAGTTTTGTGACAGATCTTAGGTCAAGCACATATACATGTGGTTGCATCACTTTCTCTTAAATGTAAAATTATATTTGCATTTATGATCAAACCAGAAAATATACTTTCAGGCAGAACTGGAATCACTATTTTCAGTTAAATATTAAGCTGAACATTTTGACAAAAATAATATGCAAGTCACAAGACCAGGGAGAAATGTGCTCTTGAGCAAATAATCTGAAGACATTGTTCACCTTGTGCAACTGGTAGTATTGCTCAGCACCTATTCCTCCTTGCTCTTCTGCTGTCCATAGCACCAAGCGCAGAGTCCTTTTTGGGCGAAGTCCTAAAACATAATTTTAAAACATTATTTTTAGTACTAATTATACATATATTTGAGTATTTTTTGTATTGGTCTCCACCCTCCAATGGATGAAAAGCCCGAGTTTCCGTTCAGTAATCTCCATCTTCACCAAACACAACCTATTTCAAGTGTGGGTTTTGTTGTTGAGACTACTTTTTGCTTGTCTGGGGGGAAGGAATGGTATTTAGGGAGAGAGCCAAAGTGAGGAAGGAGTGAACTGTTGTGGTGCTGCTACCAGTTGCAGTAGCACAGAGAAGCACATTTTGGGGGCATACTGTAGGTGTGTGAAAACCATAACATAACTACTTTGATAGATTTCTGAGACATATGCTGCTGTCATTGTGGTGGTCTGCAGTAACTAATGTGCATCCACTTTCAGCAGATCCAAATCAAATTTTCATGAGAATTACCACTGCTTTGTCATGGTTAATTTATTACAATTAATTGAAAATGAGCTGCTGGATTTTTATGAGAAATGTTTACCCATTTCAGGAACTGAGGGGCTCTGCAATATTATTTTGCTTCTTATCAGAGAAATGAAAAGCAACAATCTGTACTTTGGAATCTGAAATCGGCTCCTGAATGTATGCACAGCTTTTTAAAACAAGGCAAACACAAGGCCATTTTCTGTTTTGCTATGGTAGCTCAGTAAAAAAGATAAGTGTTCAGATAAATTTTGAAACAATTTCTGCCATGGCAGAATTGAACAGATAGAAGTTGTTGCCCTTTATTTAATTGATTGATTCTTTTCATAAATTAATACATTTGAGACATCTAATCTGAGAGCATGGAAGAGCAAACATCAAGAATATAGTGTGCAGTGTAATGCTAATTATGTTCAAGCAAAAGTAAAGTCCCCAAAACAAACAAAAACCCCTCCAAAAACAGTGAGGAAACTATTACAAGTGATAAAGCTTAAATTACCACACATACTTCTGTGCTGAGGAGAAATAATATCAGTATCACTGTCAAATTTTATTTCATTTCCTAGCTGAAATGGATCAAGTTTAAAAACAGACCTGACCATAATTATTTTTTTTCTTTTGACACAATAAAAATCAACTGAAGATTTCTTTCTTGAAATAATGTGCTAGCAGTCCTCATAGCTGAAGGCAGAGTATACAAGGAATACTCAAAATCTGAAGAAAACACCATGGATTATCCAATATTTCATAATGAAGTGCAAACAAGTAGTTTAAAGGTATATTTTTTAAATGTTGATCTGCTGACTGTAAACAGACAGGTTATCAAACCCCATTATTTTAAAGACAGCCTACCCCGTACACATCCCAGTAAATTCCCTGCTCTTCTCCAAAATCATAACAGTACAGGATTAGCCTCCTTTGCTTTTCAGATCAGCCAGATGGCCAATGAGTTAAAATTAAGATAATAAAACAGCTGAAGCTAGAAAGATTTTAGACCCTAAATAACCACAAATGTGTCAGTGGCTTGGTTAGAAGAGGTGGCTCTAAAGAGGAAAAGGCACTGGATATAAAGCATAGAGCAGCTGGTCCTGTAGCAAGGTTCCAATTGGCACTACAAAAGTAGAAGAGGTGTGTTTGCTGTATCATAAAATACGAAGTCCTGAAGCCCAGTCTACAGCCCACTGCACCAAGGCTGTGAAAGCAGCTTTGGTACGAAATGCTTGAGACGAGGGAGCAGCATCTTTAGCCTCCTAACAGGCAAAAATCAAGATGCTTTAGTCTGCTACTGTTGCCCTAATGGGGACTCGGGTCCAGTGATCAGGGACATCATGTTCAGATCAGATGGGCTGTAACCCCAGTGGATCTCTCCTGCTATGCAGAACCTTGAGAGGGTCTCAGCTCACTTGTGGGAAAGAAGTTTGAGATTCTTATGGCCCCCTCCTAGCCTGTCATTGCATCTGTCCATTAAAGCTGAGGAAATAAAAAGCCCTGTTGAGATTCAGTCTTTCCAGTCCCGGAGGTGGCATACCAACTTTTCTAATCTCACAGATTCCTGTCAGCAGACTCATTTGCGTGTTGTACTGAAATTAAATGGGTTACTTAAAAAAACCTAAAAAAAAAAAACCATATATAAACTATGGATAAGTTTTAAACACAAAATAAAGTCTACTGCGGAAAATTTAATTTCCTCATTATCTTAATCTGAAAATGATAAGTATTTATCTACCTCTTATTAAAACCACAGCTATTCTGATCAAAGAACATAAAACAAATCTAATACAAACAAAATTGCTAAGAATATTCTCAATGCACATTTTTATTAAAAAGTATGAAGTACTGTATTTAAGTTAATTTTTTTTTTTTTTTTAAATGAAGTTTAACTATTTTGGCTTGCTTCTTAAAAACTACTGGTTCCTAAGCATGGCATCATCTCAACAAAATCAGAAGGCTTCCAGATCACAGCACAAATATGTATTGAAAAGGCATGATAAAATAGTACTTGGACTAGAAAACTAAGTTCTGTGATGGATTTACGGTGTGGAGGGTAGGTAGCAAATTTTAAAATTAAGGTAAACTGTTTCACAAATAAAATAGTGCCCCTTCCCATTTTAACTATATAAGTGATGTATTACATAGTCAAAAAAAAAAAGAGGATGTCAGAAGAAAAACAAATTGTAAAGTTACCCAGACCATTTAAATAGATCATTTTGGCAAATTGCAGCAGGTTGCAATGGCATTCATTGATGCATCAGTGGAGGGATTCCCTACCATGGCCTCCCAGGGTCACTGGGATCTAAGATTATACAACTCAAATTAAAGTTGCAGAGCTCAGCACCTACACAAACCACTGAAATCCCGGTTCCCATCCTACTGCTGCATCTCAATAAATAGAATAGCAGGGGTTAACAGGAGGATAAAATTGAAAAGGTGATAGCTGGTACTCAAATAAATTGTTCTTTCTAAGCTCACATAACTAAAACCAAAATCAAAACAACTATAGATCCTACTCCAGTTACAGATTAATTCGCAAATCTCCAGTGTTTTAGAAAAATGAAGTAGCTTTTTTTCCCCCCCACCTTTACCCTTAACTGGGAAACATAGTCATAGTTTACCACAAAGGTGCATTTTACTGACCAACCTCTACATTCTTATAATTTATCCCAAGCATAAAAAATATTATAGGGCACCTGGGCTCCTAAATTAAAGGATGAAATAAAAACATCGATATGGTCAATCTGTGACTAAGGAAACACAGGCAGTAAGTACACCAGGACACCTGCTGTATTATACTCCCTCTGTTGGAGTGGCTGCTAGCCCTTTCATTGTCCTTGGGTATCACAAACACACTTCAGTCATACTAAGATGCAGCAGCTCTTACTGCTTCTATTTTCTGTTTCTTTTAAATCATCATAGAGTGCTCACACTAGCAGATGTCAGCAGCAAACCTAGATTAGCCAAAACACCAAATGCTTGAAAAAAACCCCATTTGTAACTAAGCTTTATTAACCTACCAGTTTGACTTCAACCTCAACTACAATGATGTATTCAGCCAAAAGCTTTTGTTTCATAACAAATGTAAAGGATAACTGTCAACAAATAACACTTGAGGTGTTACACACATGCACATATATGTACATATACACATTTTGGATTTTACATTATTTTACAATCTAAAATAGTATTTTCTACTCTTAAGTTTCTTAGAGCTTTCCCAGCTTCACCCTCCCAAGAGTCTGCATAAATGGCCCAGCAAAGCCTTGAACCAAGCACCAAAGTAGAATAAATTGCACTATTAGATCACTCTCTTAATACTGCCTAAGCCACTAATGTATTTGCTTCAGGAGCTACTAGGGAGAGGTATATACAGATGTATCATCCTCAAGTCTTGTCCACTGCTGCATTTAACATCATGAGCGATGCATTTCTCTGCATTATTACCTTGTGGCCTAGAATTTCTTTAAAAGGATATTCATACAAGAAGTAGTAAGATACACGACGATGCTGCTGACAAGCATTACATTTCTAATACACTCCCTACCTTTTTTCAGGTTTGCAGTTGATTAGACATAGGGAATTTACTGTGTGACATTAGCTGGCATATTTCTATCCTGCAAGCACTTCTCATAAAATGCCTGAAATTTCTAAAACCTCTGCCACAGCATAAAATAAAAATAAAACCAATACTCCACATTTTGTTAAAGAAGACAACTCATCATCAAACACAGTGGTACAATCTGCTTCCATTTCAAGTATCAGCATAGATTTCTGTAAAGAAGAATGAAATGGTATATTTAATAAGATCTCTGTTCAGCTCCTGATGTAATATCAGTAATGTGGAACACATCTCTTCCTTCAGCTACAATAGTGGAATTCCACTTGTGGTTCATACCAGCTGAAATTACTCAAGCAAGACAGTGACCTCACCAAGCTCAAACTCTGTGCTTTTAACAACAGTAGATTATTGTCCATGTACCATCCACTGCTTTTTGGAGGTGAACATTTTAGATGGACACCATTAATCTTCTCCCAGGCATACTACAAGCATTGATGCTCTTACTTGATACTCCATGCCACAAATTTGTCTTGGAAATTATTCCATGAATAATTTGTGGAGGGCTCTGATTCACACCTAATACATCCATGGTTCGTTCTGTGATTCTGTTCATGTGATGGCGTTCTGGTTTTAAAGGATTTCTTTGATGACAGGCTGAAGATTTTCAGTTTCAAGTTGGAACACACACAGCATCAACAAACTTAAACATGACTACTATTCTTTTTAATGAGGCACTTACACTTTTCTTTATGACTAGCTTGTCCTCATCCTTTTTAATTTATTGCAGTATCAACTGGGTTTGCCTAAAAACGGTGTCTTAGGAAACTATCTCAGTCTTGTGAGTTTCCTCCATGCTATGCCTTCATCTTTCCCCATCCTCCCCTGACAAGTCGTCTTTGTTGCACAGTTTTCATGGCAATTTCCCGTCTCTTGTGACATTACTAGCAGTCTTCCACAAAAAAACCCAGGCAATTTCTGGTGCATATTTTAGGGTCAAATTAGCT